GCAATGTATTAGATTTCCTACGTTTCCAACACCATAATCTTCATACCTTATGTTTCTTACTCTTATGTTTTACCTTACCTAAGCTTACTATATCTATAATATATTTAATTAAGTTATATATATTATATTTAAATTATACAATTGCTAAATTATAGCATCTATGTATATTCTTTATAATGTTAGTCAACCAGTGCGGCTATTGTAATAAACACAGTAAACACATATATTATATAAATTAAATGAAATAATACAAATAACAAACAAAAAACAAACAACAACATATTCACAAGAACATATTGATGTTCAGATGTCTCGCTTGCTATATATGTGTTTGTCACATCAATGTTAGTTTCAATCCTGCCTGCCGAATTATGAATTACAATATGCTACATAATGTGGCAATCACCACATGTATGTTTTGTGAAACCAAGCTGAGGTTGTCAGCAGCTCAGGCGTAAGGCTTGTAGCATAAGGAGAAGGTGAAGTCAACAGTAGAACATTATGAAGTTCAACATAGTCGTCTCCTTTTGAAAGAATAGTCTGCATCCGCCACATCCGCATCACCATTGAACACATCAGTCTTAGTCTCACTTGAAGAAGGCTTACCCTTGCCTTCATCATCCTCAGGCATTCCCTCAGCCTCATACTCAGAGTCCAAGCTGTTCATTTGTGATCGGTGAGTGGATTCCTCTCCTGAATCTGTTCCCAGCTGTGATGTGCGAGATGAACGATCATCAAAATCAGCACCACAATTCGCATGGGTATGTGTATCCGTCTGAACATTGTTGATGATGTTGTTGATCTCAATATCATTCTCATTTGTAGCCACCAGTTGTTGTTGATGTTGATCATGATCATGAGAGCCTTCGTCACTAGCACCAAATTTCCCTGAATCATCTGGAACATGTTGATCTTCATGACATAATTCATTTGATGTAGGTGAGGATAAATTGATATCTGCATATGGAATTGGTATACCCAAGATTTGTGAATATGCATTCACTCTGTCGTAGAAAGTATACTCACCCATTGGAGAATCCTCCAGATCATCAAGCCAATCCAGATTTGTCTCATTAGACGCACACGATGTAGGGCTGCTTAGAATCTCAACGCTTTGATTAGATTCCGTGTCTACGTTCCTTTCAACTTCCTGTATATCAGCATCATTGCTAGCAGCATTGTTTGTGTCGCCATTGCCACCAGTAATTGCCATAGCAGAACCCATGTCCATGTAAAACCTCTTCAAAAATGGTCTCAAGCTTATGAATCTATATTATTTTTTACATTTAGAGTCTTGTAGTCTAGGAGTCTAGTCTTGTATTGTTGGTGAACCACATTGTTGTTAACGCAATTGCTGCTGTAATTAGGAGTGTACAGTGTTGTGAACATAGAGTCAAAGAAAATGTTTTTGTTGTTGCTGCTGCAGCTGATGCTTGAACTATTTGACAGTCCAATCAAATCGAAAAAAACATTCATCCAGCAATCCAGCAACGTCTGTGAAAACAGAACAGAACATAACTGATTCAACAGTCATTGTCATAGCACTACAGATCGCTATGGACCGCTTGCAGAAACTTGACTCTAAAGTGACAATGAACGCCAAAGTGTCCTTGGTTTGATTCTGATTTTGAATTATGTAACAAAATAACATTATACATTGTATGCTGACTCCATGCTGCACATATTATGCATATGTACTGATAGAACTGGAGGCTTTGGGCGCACCTGTTTTGTTGAATTGATGACCGGCAAGAAGACGTCCTTCTAGCCCTTCTGGACGTCTTGCAAGGCCTGTCATGCAGCAGTATTCACCAATAAGATAATAAGATGCATCGTCTCAATGTTCACACCTTTGTTGTACGTTGCAACACGCACACACACACACACTATCATGTTGTTGTACTTAGTAAGTTCTGATGAACTTTAATGTTTGGATGTAAAGAAATTGTGTTTCAATCAGTGACACAGTGACACAATCTAACACATTGACATATTGTTTGCAAATCTTTAGTGTAAGTCTAAGTGACTTGGTAAGTGAAAGTGAAAGTCAAATAGCACACTTGGTTGATTGGTTGAGTTCTTTAAGTTTATTATGCATTGATGCTCAAGTTACAAATGCTACATTGTGTACCCAAATTGATCAAACCAAACAACAGCACGCCCGCCTGCATGCAAAAGAGATGTCTTTCTTCCATTGTGTGATATGTCCTGAGTGCAGCTGCTGAAACATTGTACAATCTTCCATGCTAACAACCAGCCTGACAGCGTGAGAGCTACCAGCCATTACTTCACATACTGTTGTTTTGTTCACGTGATTTACTGGTAAATAGTAAACAATGTTTATGATTCATGATCGTCGCAGAAGCAAGATAGACTAGACAATATGTCACAAACATGAAACATGTAACATTAACTAACATAATCTTGAATTTTGCATATGAAGATCTTATTGTCTTGACAAGTCTCTGTTTCCCAATCTCTTTGTGTTTCAATGCTGCGCTGGTTCATTGCTCGATGTCGTGCTGATGATCCTTGGCAATGTCAACGTCATGAGCGATAACATTGATCAACACCTTTACAAACAAAAGTAAACTAAGTAAACAAACTTTAACACAACATCTAAATAACAAGCTAACCTACGTTTGTTACCACTTTGTTATAAACTAACAGAGCATGCAAACAGATACATTGTAGCATACATAAGCCAGACGCCTAGTATACTAGTACACATATACACATACTATAGAAATCAAAACTTGTACCGATGCACATACCAGATATCCTAAACAAAGTCTAAATTCTATTGAACTGCTTGTGTTGCCTGACTACAAGTAACAAACTAAACAAAAGCCATTGGTGGGTTCATGTGTGCTCAGAATAATGAAGATGTTTGTAAACCCATTATGTTAATCATTAATCTAACTTTGGTTAAGAGTTAAAGGTCACACACATATGTCACATAAGTAATTGAACATTTCTAGACTATGTATCCTGTTGAGCTTGTTGACCGTTTAGTAAAGTGTAAAATATTTTGTAATAATGGACTACAGGTGCATCCTGATGTAGGCAGCAATGATTACACTAATGCAATGCAAAGCAACAACCCTCAAAACACAACAAAATAACATAAAATATCAAATCAGATCATAAAATTCAGATAGTGTCTTGTTGCATCAATACTATACTAGCCGCTAGGTGCTAGCCCACTGTGCTGCGAAACAAAACAATGCAAGCGGTCCAACGTCCAAAGGCAAAGCTCTTCCTGACTGCTTCACTTCCAACCTATCCATTATCCACATCTTTAGGCATTGCGACACCATCAAGGAAAAGATATATGATTGTCTCAAATGGTCTTTGCTTGGATCATGTCTATCAGTTAAGTTTCACATGGTCACATGGTCACTGCAATGTAGTCACATCCAATGTGTTTGTATGAGTCCTCATCCTGACTCATTATGTTGCGTATGTTACATGGTCTACGATAGTCTATATTATATACGTTATATAAGTCTATGTTTTTTGTTACTAAGCTGATGTTGATTTATTCAGTACTCATTTGGCACACATGGTGATGACATATGAACCATTTGAACTATGGACCATAGGTCCTTAAATACATTGGGCAGTCACTCTAGGCTCTAGGCTCTGGATGTTACAGTAGAGGCACCACTGTTATAGGCTGTTAGGCTGTTTGGCCGCCTTTTACATTGTTAGACTGTTAGACAGTTAGATGTTAGAGGCACCACAATTACTCATTTGATTTTCCCTTTGGGCTCCAGTGACAATGATCTGTAGATACTGCCCTGGCCCTGGATCATGGCTAGCTTCTGGACTGTTTGTGAACCTTTGAGCCTGTAAGTGCACTATTGCAGAAAAAAAACACCTCTCACCCTGACCCTGCCCTGCTGCATGATGCTCACATGTTTATGTTAAGTCTTCAAGGCTGCTATGCTATAGTTGTTGTGGCGCAGAATATACTGAAGTTTATTGTTACCACAAGTACTAAGTACAACATACCATACATACTCTTAACATACCATGCATACTCTTAACTCTTGACCCTATATGACTTGTGTTTGGAAAACATGTTGAGTCTATCGGCTATCGGTAAGTATGTCAATATGACAGTATGAAAGTCTGACAGTCTGACGACATTAAGTTTGATATTGAATGTCAGTGCCAGTCGTGTCAGTGTTATGCTAAGTGTCATCAAATATAGTTGGTTTTATTGTTTGTCAACATTATGATGTTGTGCTTCATAAGTCATAATGATGCAAAGGCTCTTCTGAAGCCACACCTTGCAAACAGAACATATCATCCTGGATGCCAGTACATCAACTTGCAGATTGTCCGCAGCTTCATCCATGGTGCCAATGATCCTGAGCGGTAGGGATGTTTGCTGCAACACAACACAACACTAATCACCACAACCAACAATTTCATGTCTGCGTATATAAAAAGAAAACACCCTAGGCTTACTTAGGTCTCCAGCACCATGCCCTAGGCTTCCTAGATTTCCAGCACCATGCCCTAGGCTTCCTAGCTCTCCAGCGCCATGCCCTAGACTTCCTAGGTTTCCTAGGCCTCCAGCACCATGCCCTAGGCTTCCTAGATCTCCAGCACCATGCCTAGGCTTCCTAGGTCTCCAGCACCATCCCCTAGGCTTGCTAGGTC